ATCTGGTCACTTCACCATGAAGAAGGTCAACACGTTTCAAAAAGTAATGTACAGCAGTACTTCTTGGTATTCCTTTCAATTTAGCAAGTAAGTCAATAGTCATGTTGTGACATATATTCAACAATGTCATAAACCTTTGGTGCTCACAAAGTTATGAATATACAAAAAAAGCTATTGTAGCATTGCCAAATCAATGCCAATGATGTTAATAACAATCTCAAAAAATATCTTTAACTATTCAACTAAAAGCAACTTATATATTTCTACATTTTCATTTTTTTATTTAACAGAATATATGTATATATATAAAACTCAAAACTCTGTCTGTCTGTCCATTATCTAATTACTTCTAGGTCACTGGACCAATCTCAACCAAACTTTGTGGGATGATAGTTTGGAATAAGGGCTTGTTAATAGGGGGTTCACAACCTCCTCCACCCCTTATTATTGCTGTTATTTAACATTTATTATCTTTGACATAAGTTAACATCAACTTCATTCATAGATAGCATCACTCTTTACACACACACAAAAACTTTATTAAATTTTCTATAATGCAAATATACACTATGGGGGAAGACGTACAAACGTCTTATATATCTCAAAGTGTGCTAGCACTCTCTATAGAGGAATAAAATGAAAAACAACAGCTGTCACTATTGCAATAGTAAATAAACTAAGATAGTTTCTACTCTAACAGCCACCATATGATATGAAGAGCTGTTTTTTGAGTTATACTTACTTCCTACTTTGACCCATCAGTTAATTAATCATATGAAACACTGTGGAAGGACATTATGAGCTGTGTGTTGAAAATGGGTAACAGAAAGCACCAATTATCGCTGCCTCTTTCTACAAAGTCATCCTGTTTTAAGCATATACATATTGAGTTCTTAAAGCGTGTACAAAACTTTTGGTTAGGTATTAATGAATATAATAATAATACAAGTAAAATGTGTGAAAGTTAGGATTTTTGTGTTATTTATCACAGCATCCACCCCAACATTTTTTTTACATTTATAACCCAGACAAAGGATGGGTACCTCAGCTTTCAATTAATAAGTCAAACTAAATTACAAAAATCTATCTTTTGAACGTGAACTAGCTTTCTATCATTTTTCCTTACAATATTCCAATTTTGCACATCTTGCTTGTTTACAGCCTTACACCTGACTTAGTATAATGCAGAAACTATCATGAAATTAGTTGTAGTTTGGCACTGTAAACAAAGTGCTAATAACCTGTTAATAACAGCCTATCCATGTCTAGATGAATGTCCAAATAATAAAAGTTAAATCTCAGATTCTAGCTTAATGTTTTTTTCTTAAACTAAGTTGAAATTAATATCCTTTTACTTATCATATACCGGCTACGATATAAAAACACTAATCAGTTTACATACCACTAATAACTAGTTATTTTTAGGGACCCATGTCTGATTTTTAATCATGCCATCTTCTTGTATGTTTAATGTCTTATCATTTCAAGTTATTGCTTTCTTCTTGTCAGTTTGGTAGCTTCACTTGGAGTCATATAAATTGAGAGGTCACTATTTTAGCTTACTTACTAGTACAACCAAACACACAACGTTTCACCTTCTGGTATATTACAGACCACTGAAATAAGAAGTTTGTGTACATTGAATTTTGGACAACATGCATGTAGCAATGCACTGTTTGCTCTTTTGTCAACATGACAGATCAGTTGTTATGAGGATGTGATGTCATGGCAACTGCAGAATTACTTGGTACTATTACAATTTCTAATTATTAACAAATGACACCACTCGACTTACTAGAAAATGTTAGTACACTACACCATATAGTGTACCATTTTTTAAAACACATATACATATGAGTAAAAAATAATATAAGCTTAAGCTTAGCAATGACTTTTATATACAGTACTGAATAAGAATTTTATTTGTTTGTTGTTATAAAGAGAGCTAGCAAGTGTTGGTAGTTGATGTTTTACAGTCAATATGTGAACATTTCATGTGAAATCTAATAGCAATGGTAACAAAAAAATCATGCATACCACAATAACAGCTTCTGTCAGAATATACATGTATAAATGTGAAAAAAAAAAATCAATCCAAGAAATATAAACTATATTACAATATTATTAGCTACAGTTGCACACAAAACCCAGTATTTTTACTTGGGTAAAAATGTACTTACGTCACCAACAAAGGTTGTTTTAGTTAAAACACACATTTGACCAAGAGAACAAATAAAAAGCCAGAATTTCAGGAAATGCTAGTTATGTTCTGAAGTTTGGGAATAAATAAGTTCTGCAGTTTTATGCTGAAAAATATCATAAAATTTTACAACTTACTTAACACGATCTTACAATAAGTGTAATGTTTGCAGATATACCTCAAAAGGCTAACACAGTTATAAAACTTATTATATACTTGTATTATGAAGCAATTAGATGTTGTGTAATAAGATAGGTCTATAGGTTGTCTTATGAAAAAAAATATATATGTATAGAATGAATAAACTATAAGAATGTTTTTTGTATTATGTTTCTCCTGAATTCCATAAATAATCTCACAAATGAAACAAAATTCATAAGCTGTCACATGTGCATATATTCTAGAAATATGTTTTCACATTTACAATGTCAGATTTACACATTGTAGGTATAGTTGCAAATACACATCTGAAAACATAATACTAAAAAACATTACTAACTAATGGTAGTGAAACTGATTTATCTAAACAAATTATCCATATTACCAACCTTGGGTTACTTTTCTTCATTAACAGTAGCCTCTGTTGCTGTAGCTTTCTGATCTCATCTTCAGATGATAATCCTTCTATTTCTTTTGCCAATCTTTTCTTAAACTGGTCTAACCACCGACTCCATTCAGTTTCATCAGCCTCCTGTTTCTGTTCTTGGGTACACTCCTACAGGGCACAATGCGAGTGATAAATACACACAAACTTGTATATTATCATGCACAATAATAACAGAGAGTGAAAAAGTAGAACATTTCCTGCAACTAGGTAAGGGATGGTTTATACCAAAAATGTCAAATAACTTTTCCTCTGTGAAGGTTTAACTTTGTCGATATTCTGCCATTCTTTAGATTTGATGGAGAAACTACTATATTCAAAAACTTCTAAACTTTAAAATACTTTCATATTTATTTTCCACATGCATATATTCAAGGATTAAAAAAAACAACAATAATTCATCATTCTCCCCCACATGTAACTGAAACAGAATATTATAATATTATGTATAATATTTACTTATAATGAAAAATATTGAAGCAAGCTCCACATATGTACATTCCAAACATTCATAACACTTATACTGTCATTCATGATTATTTATATGCAACATTTATGGTTCTGAAATCTTCAATCCTAAACACAATTCATTTCATTATGCTCCTTTAAAATACATTGAAATATTTCAGAGCTTTTAAAACATGTTAACAAAGAAATAAAGCTGTTGCTCTTATTTTACAAGAAGAAGAAACATGAGAAAGAAAGCAAACTGTGTATCACTAATGCTGATTGGCTACTTGAATCAGTGCCTTTTGGTCAATGGCATATTTCATGATGAACTTGCTATGTTAATCATGCATGAAAGATGGTTATGCTCACAAAAGACTGAAAAAGGAAGTGATACAGACTGTAGATCTGAGGAAAGAGTTTACTGAAGTTCTGAAAAACATCCTGACAACCCTAAGCCCCTTACATTTTTCTCACTGTTCGGGTTAAACCTGAGACTGATTCCAGGTAGTTCAAAAGAGAAGGGAATTCTACCAAAAGTTTAAAAAATCTCATTCCTGTATCATACAAATTAAACACAGCATTAGTGCTATCTAGTGACAGGGTTTACAGCCTCACATTATGTATCTCTAGAGAGAGAAGAAGAAGAAGAAGAAGAAGAAGAAAAAAAAAAATTCTTCTACTTAATAAAGTACCATCATTAAAGATTTTACAAAGTCACCCTAAATATGGTTTTTTTAGCTCAGTACTTCAAATTTTTGAGATATACTACTGCTCTTGACCTTCAATTTCTATATAAAATTTATTTCTGAAATAAATCAAAATGCTGAAATGCCATTAACTTAAGAAAATCATGACTTCTACATGAATTACAGTAATATTTAAAAATTACAAGGTTGTGAGATACTTCAGTTTACAATGTACACAAATATGACAAGCTAGATACAAAAACACTTGAGTAATTACATGTTACAGTCATCTAATGTTCATCTATTAATTCCTGTTTCACCCTGTACCTAAACTTTTCAGAGAAACCAGATATTTGTAAAGGGGTAACGATAACATTGTTTACACTAGTATTATGATGTTTTCTAGTCTATGTAAAATATAGAAAAAACAACTAAATTATTCAATACTCCTACAACATTAGTAGCACCTTATTTAACATTCTAAAAAAGGTTTGAGTGCTATATACCAAGCCATTTTTGTTGTATGCTGACAAGAGAATAATAATAATAACACGAATTACAAATGGGCCATTTTGAGCAATTTTCTTTTTTCTTAAGTCTAACGTGTGTTTTTTGTGCATTTTTATACATGTACAGCCTTATTAGTCAATAGTAAAAGTTTTAAAGTATTGTTTGAACTGATTATTTACTGTTTAAAGTTCATTTCTGCCCAAACATTCTATTAGGGTTTTATGCAATTCCTTGTGATCCCTCTTACAAACCAGTATTATGGTTCATGATATTCTACAAAGTATTCATTTCATGTTCTTAGTTTTTATACTTAATAACTTTACCATAATTATCATCCTCTTTAGTTTGGAGTGGTACAACACTACCTTTTTCTGAATAGTAAATCAAGTGATTAAACCACAATAACACCCCACCCCTACCCTAATGCTTTCCTACACATCCTCCATAAACAGCTTCAGCATCTTCACATTTACCACAACAATGCTTAAATATAAAGAAAGTATAATTAAAAATATTTATTTTTGTTATCATCAAAGAAAATCAATTTTAAAATAGTATGACACAATACATGCAATCTGTTTCACAATCTCATGATATTATTTTCAATAATCTAAGTGAATGAATTTTTCATAATGACAGTATGATAAACTAGACTTAGACTGCGACATTTTTTTTCTTTTCACATGTTGCATGTCCAACATACAAAGCAATTTTCATTTTAAGATTAAAAATACTTTTATGCATCAGAATGTTTTCAAATTTCACATGCAAAATCTTTATAATGTCCAGATAGTTATCAAATGTTTCTTAAGGAAAAATTTCATATTTTATCTGTTACTTTCAGTAATTAATCTCTGTACAGGTTCAGTAAATTTGACCGATCTCACAAGCACCATAAAAAGTTAAGAAATAAATATAAATTATGCGACTTACATTCTAGAAT